GTGAGGGAAAGCTTTAGGGCAACGAGATAACCTCTAACACCAGGATTGACACAGAGTGACCAAAGAGTAAAAGGACTTACGTGTACTCTAAGTCACCCAGAGTGAACCAAGTTATTTTGTTTCAGGAACATGGGGATGGATATTTATAGTTGAGATAAGGTAGTACTTGAATAGAATGTTGAATCTCTTTATTCTATTTGGAAGAGATCATCAGAAAATATGCAATTAGTTCTTTGTGATCTCAGTCTTCAAATATTTTCGCTACAAATACTGCTTTGGGTAGAAAGAGTTTTGTGCTGCAGAAACTAATTAAAAGAGCTTTTTAATTAAAAGAGCTTTTTGAGCACTTAGTGCCTGCCAGTCACTGTTTTAAGAAATCTGTAGGTATTATCTCATTTTACTCTTAGAGAAGATCCATTTATTTTATTGATAAGAGAACTGATCAAGAGAGGTTAAGTAATTTGTCCAACATGATGCAGGTAAAAACTGCCAAAAAAAATTTATGCAAAGAGGATCTAACAATCTTTCTTGACAACTGTACTGATTCATCTTGCAACAACATCCAATTGGAAACAAGGATAGTGTTCATGAAAAAGGCTGGTTTGAATTTTAAGTAAGGACGAGTGAGATTTTGACAGAAGGAGGCAGCAAGGAAAAGTAGAAGACATTTTGAGCTAATGAGACCGCATAAGAAAATCAAGAAAATGGAAAAGCATACAGAGCATCTTCAGGAAAAGATGAAAGTTTATCTGTGTGTATGTGTGTGTGTGTGTGTGAGAGAGAGAGAGAGAGAGAGAGAGAGAGACAGAGAGATGCATATGAATTATATAAAGCAAAACTCAGACTAAAATGAAATGGATGAGGAGAGCCAAAGTAATTGGAGAACAGCAGTTAAGAGCCCCAGAAGTTTAGAACTGATGGGCAATGGAGCCCATTTTAGGGTGATATGCTTGACAACAGGGAGTTTTTGGTGTTAATTGAATGAGGTTACAAGATCTTCAGTATTTGGTCCTGTTCAAGTTCTCATATTGGTCATCACGTCCCCCCAACATTTGATCTATTGTTGATTGTCTAAATTGGTCACCCCAAACCCTCTGAAATACTTTTTTTTTTTTTTTTTGCCTAGGAAAGGATACTTAAGAATATGCCAGTATTCTCTACTCTAATAACAGATGTTAGAAAGGAGCTCAGGCCTGGAGAAACAACCCATAACCAGCTGTTTCATAGCTGTAATTACAACCTTAATAAATGAATCATTTCCTTCAGTTGGCACTAGTTGGGGTCTGAGCATAGCATTCTGTGGGTTAGCAGTTCTGGAAGCATTTCCCTGTCCACTGATAATGCTTTAACATGGAGGTTTGAGAAATCAGGCACATAACAAAAATGGCCCTTACTGTGTATAAAATGCAAGTTTAACAATTGGTGGTGAGCTCATATGAGAAGGAAGAAGTCATCAAGTCCTTGGTAATATAATTGGCTTGACATATTAGGTTGTAGCTTTGAATTTAAAAATCAAACTATAAAACATAATCTGCTGTACAGTGTGCTAATTAACCAGCTGGGCCAGCTTTTATAGACTTAATTTTACAGATTTCCTCGAGAACCTAATCTAGTTTGGTGACTCAGAGCTATATCTCCCTCCTGCTAAGTCTTAATAATCATGGTTCCTGTTTTTTTTCCTTGGTATGTCAGAGACCTCATCTTTGTCTCTTTTGTTAGATGATATCCTTTGCACTGAGAAATCTTTTTGTAGATCTCCTTATTAGACGTTGCATTATAAAAGCACCCGTTTTGCTACTTTCACCTGCATAATTCTCTGTTGTGATTAATGCTCATATTTCAAAACAATCCTATTCCCAAACAAACATGTTAGGTCATAATAGAAGAGTTAGAAACAAGTAGCAAGGACTGAATTTCTACCAAAAGTGGGTTTGGTAGAAAGAGACAAAGATTAAGTGGGAAATCAATTAGTTACAAGCTTTTTCACAATTACAACAGTGGAGGATTTAAAAAAAGAAAAAAAACAAACAATAAAAATGAATGATCTTCCCAGCTTTAAATTCATAATCCAATGTAGCAAGGGAGACAAGGAGGGTGATAGGAACAACATAGGGCCTTAAAGTAACTTTTTAAAAATTGAAGTGAGATTGATACACAAAGTTATATTGGTTTCAAGTGTATAGCATAGTGATTGAACACTTTTTTTAAAGATTTTATTTGAGAGAAAGAGTAAAAAGCAGACTCCCTGCTGAGCAAGACACCTGACTTGGGGCTTGATCCCATGACCTGGAAATGATGACCTGAGCCACCCAGGCACCTCTGATTGAACTTTGATTGCATAATGCTATGTTCGTTTCAAGTGTGGCTGCCATCTGTCATGGTAAAACGCTGTTGAAATGCCTTTGAATATATTCCCTGTTCTGTGTCTTTAATTCCTGTGACTTACTCATAACTAGAGGCCTGCACCTCCTACTCCCCTTCATCCATTTTGCCCATCTCCCCATTCCTTCAGGAAACCAACAGTTTGTTCTCTGTATTTGTGGGTCTATTTGTGTTTTTTGTTTGGTTATTCATTTGTTTTTTATTTTGGTGGGTTTTATTTTTTTTTATTTTTTTGTTTGGATTTCACATATAAGTGAAATCAGATGGTGAAATAAAGTTCCTGTGTTTATGATTTAACGATGAAGATAATATGTGCTTCATGTAGGAAACCTATAAACTGTAAAGAAAATTACCAAGAGGTGACTACTGTGAATATTTCAATATATATTCAATATAGCCTCTTTCTACTCAAAATTTTCTACTTATTTGCAGTTATTCTGTGTAGGTAATTTTGTCTTCCCTTGGTTTTCCCATCATTATCATACATTTTCTTAAGTCTCTATATAAAGTTTCTGACACTTATGTAGCTTTTATTGATGTTTTTTCCATCAACATTTATACTTAATAGAAAAATTTATAGCATAAATTCAAAAACTAATGCTGTTGGTGGTGTGTATATGTATATGTTTATACTAATCTTATAACCTGTATACACCATGTATGTGATCACATTATTTTTCAATATGATTTTTATTACTTAGCAATACGCTATGAATATTTTTCGGTACATATATATGTATATACATATTTTAATAAATATATTCCATTGTATGGGTATTTTGTAGTTGATGTAACCAATCCTCTACTATTGGTCTGTCATAAGGATTCCAAGTATTTGTTTACATATAATACTCCAATAAAAATCCCTATGAATATTTTGTCATTCCTTATTCTTTTTAAATACATTTTTAGAATCTGGGAGTTCATGCCAATTAAGAGCATTTACTCCAATCTAATGTTATATGAAAGTAATGAGAAGATTCTTTTGATCACAACCAATTTAATATGTAGACATTATCTCCATGCATTCCTTTCATATAAGTATGATTTTTGTCCATGTAGTTATTGCATATTTATGAATTAGTATTTATTTTGTAAATGGTCTATTTTTATTTTTCCATTTTTCCATTGGGGATATGTCAGTTTTTGAAATTTAACTTATTTAAAATTTTAAGTTTCTAATTGTTATTTTATGGGTTATATGATATATATATTTCGCAGAATCCAGGAAGGTATTTTTTTTTTTTTCTTCGTGCCTCCAAATTCTGGTTAAAGCTTCACAGCTGAAGATGATGTAGAAAAGGGTCACCGTGTTTTTTAAGAAAGGAACTAGGTACACCATATATATCTTTAGGATCTGAGTTTTTCAGGGGCTTGTCACCATCAAGAGCAGCCAGAAATTGATTTTTGATTACTCAGGAGAAAATACTTTGAAAGGACTTTGCAAGGAGTAGAGAAAAATATGTTGCTTCTCCTTTCACACCAAATGAGGGCAATACCAAGAGGGCTTGACTGCATCCTTGGATTCTGTGGGGCACAGATAATGAAAAGTCTGGAGTGGACCACAAAGGAAGTGCCATTAGGGAGGGCAGCAGGAAAGTGTGGCTAGTAACCTAGAATTTGGCCGAGGGATTTGGAATGTTTCCCTACAGCTAAATGGTAGTGGACCCTAACTCATCCTTTGAGGATCTGCTCAGATTGGCAATTTTTGTTCTCCAGGTGTTTAGGTCCCACATCTTGAAAGCCACGGGTAACTGCTTTATCTCCTTCTTACCCCACAACCAGTCAGCAAACTTTTGTCAGCTTCAGAACCCAACCACCTCCTCCAGGATTACACTTTAGTCCCAGTCACCGATACCTCCCATTCTAATTGGATTCTCGTATGTTTGCCTCACCCCCACCCCAATCCCCCAACTTAGTTTCAATGTAGCACTCCGAGTAGCTCTTTTAATATTTAACTTGAATCATGTCCTAGCTTTGTTTAAAATCTTATTTCTAATGGCATCATGTCTCACTCAGGGTAAAAGATAGTCTTAAAAATAGCCTATAAGTTCCTGTGTCGTCTGCCTCCCCATTTATTCCTTTCAGAACTCATTTCCTACTGCTTTTCCTATTCTCATTGTGCTGCATACATGGGACTTCGTATTATTCTTTTAGCTTGTCAAATGCTTACTCACCCTGGGGCGTTGTACTTACTGTTCTTCCTGGAACACGTGTCCCTAAATATGCATATACTTCATTTAACCTATTAAGGTAGCATCTTTGAGGTCACATTTTCGGAAAGACTTTTGTCACCTTCTATGTATTTGTGTCTCAGTCACTTTGTGTTCATGAATTCCATTTTATGTTTCTTCTAGGCACTTAAACATATTTTTATGGTGCTTATTTCTTTATTGTTCTAGTACACCACTAGAATATGAGCATGCAAGCTTCTGACAGAGCTGCCTGTCTTCTATCATCACAACAGGACACAGGGAAGATACTCAGTAAAGTGTTGAGTAAATGATGAATGCACCCTGATTCAGAAACAAAGCTGCCTTAGTTCAAAGATGCTTTTTTTTTTCCTTTTGCATGTTACTTTTAGTTATTTAAGGTGAATCAATGTCCATTCTCAAGATCCATATGAATAGTAGGTATGTATTTTCAGGACTAGAATACTGGTAGATATCTAGCCCTTGTATATATTTCAGGTGTACTTTTTCAATTAGCAATAATTGTGCCTCAGATAAACCTCATTGGCTATGATACTGTCACTGCACAAAGCTCAGGTGTATTTTTTAACTTTGATGTAACACCTTAGTTAATACCCTGTAACATGATTTTGTACCCTGCCTACAATTTATCATTGCAATTTGATAAAGCTTACTTGTGAAGAAGTGTCTTATTACATACTTCTGTAGTGACAATTTATTGTAAATGTACTGGCTTAAAACAATACAGACTTATTATCTTAGTTTCAGAGGTCAGATGTTCAACCCAGGCCTCACTGGACTAAAATCATGGTGTCAGCAGGATTGATTGCTTCTGGAACCTTTAGAGTAGATTCTGTTGCCTTGTCTTTTCAGTCTAGTGGTTACCTGCCTTCCTTGGCTCATGGCCTCATTGCTCTGTCTTCAAAACCAGCAAAATAGCATCTCTGAGCCGGCTTGGAAATGTTCTCCATTAAAAAAAAAAAAAAATATCACAAAGCAGGGAGCCCGATGCGGGGCTTGATCCCAAGACTGGGAACGTGACCTGAGCCAAAGGCGGATACTTAACCAACTGAGCTACCCAGGTGCCCTCAGAGTTTTCCATTTTTAAGTATTCATGTGATTAGATGGAATCGATGCAGATATCTTCCCATTTCAAGCTCCTTAACCTTTAGCACATCTGCAGAGTCTCTTTTGCCCTATAAAGGAACATATTCACAGGTTCTGAGGTTTAGGTTTCCTACCTCAGAAGGAGTGAAAGCATAGCTATCTTTCATGATTGTCCCTGCTGACCTCTAACACTAATGCCTTTTTTCTCATTTCTTTAAAAACAACTTCTTTAAAGAACAACTGTCTGTTCACTCTATTTTTCATTTCAGTCTCCTGTTTGATCCCTTTAGTGAATGTAAATTTGAATCCCACCAATGTATTAAAAGTGTTCTAGGTCCAACATTGACCAATTGGTCTCCAGACTTCGTTTTTCCCCCCTCTGTGTGTCACTATGCCTGAGAAGCTAGCAGATAGTTACATATTTTCCATAGCAATCAGGAATAATGGAGCCTGATGGCCCAGGTCAGAATAGACAACCTAGCTGCTATTCCCTGTCGGATATATTTTACCTTCTGACTTCTTAATGACCCACTATTCTACTCATGTAAAAGTGTGGCTTACTTTCCTGATCATTGACCTTAGTTTGAAACTCTCCACCTTCAAAATTCTTTCTCCTAAAGTTTACCTTTTCTTGCAGCATATTCTTTCCATGACTCTTGCCCATCTTTCTAGCTACTTTAAAATTCTCTGCTCCTTGTTCCTCCTGTTTTGGACTCCTAAGCCCAGTGTTCCTCCGTTTCTCTGGAACTAATTCTGAGGACAACAGCCTTTCCTAAAGTTATGTAAGTGCCTTGATTGTTACCTGTTCACTCTCTTGATAGTCTACGAAGCCATCGTTGCAGGACACTGCTCTGAAGAGACTGACAATTGGGCAGTTATGGACACTGGCCAGCTCTGAGTGAGGGTGACCTCTGGTGGACACAACTCATCCCTTAGCCTTCTCCCTTGTCATGTGTGATTGCCGTTGTTTATTTAAATTGTGGTAAAAGGTATATAATATAAAATGTTCCATCTTAATTTTTAAATATACAGTTCAGTAGTGTTAAATACATTGACATGGTTGTGCACTCAATCTCTAGGACTCTCTTCATGTTGATAAACTGGAACTGTCTATCCATTAAACACTAGTTCTCCATTTTCCCCCTCCCTCTAGTCCCTGGAAATTACCATTCTACTTTGTCTCTGAGGATTTGACTACTCTAGATAGCTTACATAAATGGAATTATATAGTATGTGTCTTTTTGTGATTTGTTTATTTTACTTAGCATTATGTCATCAAGAGTTATCTACCTGGATTTCCTTTTTAAGGCTAAATAATATTCCATTGCATGTATGTGCCTCTTTTTTATCTACTTATCCATTGATATTTTGGTTGCTCCTATCTTTTGGATATTGTAGAAAAATACTGCTATGAACATGGGAGTCCATAGATCTCTTTGAGACTCTGCTTTCATTTCTTTTGTGTATATACCAAAAGTGAAATTGCTGGATAATATGGTAATTATTTGTTACTTTTTATACTGTTATATTGTCTTCGTTAGTGGTTTCAGCATTTTACAATCTCACTAGCAATGCATGAGAGTTCTAATTTCTCCACATCTTTGCCAATACTCATTTTCGATAGTAGCCATCCTGATAGGTATAAGATGGTACCTCATTGTTGTTGCTGCTGTGTTTTTCCTAAATTTATTTAAGGGAGAGAGAGGATGTGTGTTCATGAGCTTCAGGGAGGGGCAGAGAGAATCCTAAACAGGTTCCATGCTCAGGGTGGAGCCCATGCAGGGCTCCATCTCAAATCCTGAGATCTTGACCTGAGGCAAAATCAAGAGTTGGACTCTTAACAAACTGAACCACCCAGGTGTCTCATCTTATCACCATTTGTTAATCACCAACCATGTCTCATGCACGGTATGGAGGGCTTTTCAAAAACTGGCTTATGTAGTTCTCACCCTGATCCTATGAGGTAGGCACTTTTGTAACTAGTCACTGTTGAAAAATGGAGGCTCAGAGCATTTAAATGAGTTTCCTGGTCTATGAAGTGGTACAATCGAGATTTGAACCCCCATCTGTTTGTGACGCACATTTTGAGTTTCAGTGTCTGTTCATCAGATCCTGTGTGCCTGATGTCTTTTAGGTTTCCATTGCATTCCATTCTACAATTCTTGAAATCACCAGTACACATTCATTCCTATCCCTGGTACTCTGTCCATCACTCCCACAGTTAGAGCAGTAATTAGGAGACCAAATTCTTAGCATTCTGTGGACAAGCACCCTTGGATTCTGTTTTTCCTCTTTACTCGCTGAACACAGATCATTGAGTGCTCATATGATGTGCTAGACCTGGGGCTGAGAACACATCAGAATAGACAGACTAGCTCATTGCTTTTTATTGAGATATAAGTGACAAACATAAATACTTAAGGTATATATGCGAATATCAAAATGCAATATTTTGAAATGCATGTATATTGTGAAATCATGACCACAATTAAGCAAAGTAACATATCTGTCACCTCACATAATTACAATGTTTTTGTGTGTTTATTAGAATGTTTGAGATCATTGTCTTAGAAAATTTCAAATACCAAATTATAATTTACTATAGTCACCATCTGTATATTAGATATTCGGAACTTACTCATAACTGAAATTTATCTTTTCACCAAAATCTCTCAATTACCTCACCACCAGCCCCTGGTAACCACCATTCTCACTACTATGAGTTGTTTTTTTTGTTTTTCTTTTTTGTTTTCTCTCTTTTAAGATTCTACAGATAAATGAGATCATGCAGTATTTTTCTGTGTCTGGCTTATTTCACTTATCAGAATGTTCTCCAGGTTCATCTGTGTCGTTGAAAATGGCAGGATTTTTCCTTCCTTTTTAAGGCCAAAACTAGATAATGACCCCATTGATGCTGTGCAAAAAAAAAAAGTGCTTAGTCAGAAACCACCAAGGATGCCTTCCTAAGAATCTGAATCTTTGAATGCTGTACAGGGCTGAAAAAGGAGGGGAGGGTCTTGTGTCAGGTTAGAAGTGGAGATAAAGCACACTTTTGTGCAAGGGTGCTTTATCTCTACCTCGCCTTGATGTCTCCTCCACTGCTGGTCGCAGGTAAAGATGTTGTCTGCTTAAAATTTTCTCTTGAATGTAATGCTGTCCCTTCAGGTTTATCAAGTCTAAAATTAGCTCATACTTCTGATACCTCTTTTTCTTTCAAGCTTCTGAGTTTTCATACATTAAGGTTATTTTTTATCTTTCTTTAATCAGCTATTTAGTGTTGATTTGTCTGTCTTTATATCCTTTGTATTGAAGTCCACTGTGGAATATACCTGTGGCCAAAGTTAGGTTTATTTAGCTTGCTATAGCAAGGAGACTCTAGAAAAATTTGAGAAGCATTTCAGTGAGGGGTGTTAGATGGACTTTTTATTGGGTTTGAGCTTGTTTTGGGTGACTGAGAACGGGTTATGGAAGTACAGTCTTGATCTTAATGGAATGCTATCAAGAAGGTGGCAATGTATTAAATACGCAGACATAGACAAATAATGTCAGATTTCACTTATGTGGAATCTAAAAGTAGCTAAACTCAAAGAGTAATGGTTACCAGGGGCTAGGGAGTGGAAGAGTTATGGAGTTTTTTTTTTTTTAAGATTTTATTTATTGATTGGTGAGAGACACACAGAGAAAGGCAGAGAATAGGCAGAGGGAGAAGCAGGCTCCTTGCAGGGATGCCTGATGCAGAACTCTATCCCAGGACCCTGGGATCATGACCTGAGCCAAAAGCAGACACTCAAAAACTGAACCACCCAGGTCCCCATTTATGGAGATGTAATTTAAGGGTATCAAACTTTGAACTAGAAGATAATTAAGGAGTCAATCCCCATTTACAATTGCACCAAAAGCATAAGATACTAGAGATAAACCTAACAAAGACGTAAAGGATCTATACCCTAAAAACTATAAACACTTCGGAAAGAAATGAGGAAGACAAAAGATATGGAAAAAATTCCAGCCATGGATTGGCAGAATTAATAAGTGAAAATGTCAATGCTACCCAGGGCAATTACACGTTCAATGCAATCCGCTATCAAAAATACAATGACTTTTTCAGAGACTAGAAAAAATTATTTTAAGATTTGTGTGGGAATCAGAAAAGACCCCGAATAGCCAGGGGAATTTTAAAAAATAAAACCATAGCGGGGCATCACAATGCCCAGATTTCAGGTTGTACTACAAAGCGTGGTCATCAAGCCATGTGGTACTGGCACAAAAACAGACACATAGACCAATTGAACAGAATAGAGAATCCATAATGTACCCTGAACTTTATGTCAACTAATATCGACAAAGGATGAAAGACGATCCACGGGAAGAAAGACATCTCTTCAATAAATGGTGCTGTGAAAATTGGACATCCACATTGCAGAAGAAGTGAAAACTGGACCACTCGCTTGCACCATACAACAAAG